ATTTCTGTCAAGTCTTAACACTGTCAAGACCTCCTGATGGCAAAAGCAAAAAAGCTCACTGACTTTGAACGTGGTAGGATTGTTGAGCTGCATAAGCAAGGCCTCTCACAACGTGCAATTGCTGCTGAGGTTGGACGCAGTAAGACAGTCATTTTGCATTTTTTAAATGATCCTGAGGGTTATGGAACAAAAAAGTCATGTGGTAGACCCAAAAGAATTTCACCAGCTCTGAGCCGCAGGATCCGATTGGCTGTCCGTCAAGACACAGGATGATCCTCTACCCAAATTAAGGCCATTACTGTCATGATGGGTTTTCAGGTTCCTAACCCACGTGCAGAACACACTCTGAGACAGGGAAAGAATTCAACAGTTTATTTAACAAGGCACAATAATAAATCTTCAGATCCAGGGGGTTATCAGATCCAGGATTAGTCACGACAGGGTTTACTGATCTGAAGATGAGCAGAGCAGCAGAGAGGGGGAGCCAGGAGGGTCCAGAGGCTGGAAGTTGTCAGAGGGCTAAGCAACGGCAGGGCTTGACTTCAGACTTATCAGTGTTCAGGTCCAACGTTTCTTCCGATCCTCTTCTTGATCCTCTTCTTCAGGTGAGCTCCTTAGAGCCGGCAGGCAGATTTCAGCAGAGAAACTCTTCCAGAGTTCCAGGGTTCAGTCGGGTTTCTTCCTAAGAAGCAGAGAAGACAAAAACTGATTAGGTTCAGGTTCTGTTTTCAGGGGAGTCAGAGAATCAGACAGGCTGGTTGGCTCAGGCTTCGCTAACCATAACTGGCTTAACACTCTGGCGCTGGAGTGTAGTCCTGCCGCTGCTCCTGATGACTGATGGATTGCAGGTGTGGTCGTCAGCTCAGCTCCAGGAGACCCTAAGGCGCCCTCTGCTGGAGGAAGGTGGACAGACCTCCAGATCCCAACAATTACTGGTGCTGACTGCAGCCCAATAACCATCAGACGGCATCTGCGAGAGAATGGCTTCAGAAACAAAAAACATCTTCAAAGGCTACGTCTTCTTCAACGCCACATAATTGCCTGTTTGGACTTTGCAAGGGTGCACCAAACATGGACATTGAAAGGTGGAAGAAAGTTGTGTTCACTGATGAGAAAAAATGTAACCTTGATGGCCCTGATGGCTTCCAACGTTACTGGCATGACAAGGAGATCCCACCTGAGATGTTTCTACACGGCACAGTGGTGGGGGCGCCATCATGATTTGGGGTGTGTTTTCTTTCAATGGAACAATGGAGCTTCAGGTTGTGCAGGGGCATCAAACAGCAGCTGGCTATGTGGAGATGTTGCAGCGGGCATCTCTCATGACTGAGGGCCCTCATCTGTGTGGTAATGATTGGGTTTTTCAACAGGACAATGCTGCAGTTCACAATGCCCGCCTGACAAAGGAGTTCTTCCAAGAGAATAACATCACTCTTTTGGACCATCCTGCATGTTCCCTGTATCTAAACCCAATTGAGAACATTTTGGGATGGATGGCAAGGGAAGTTTATAGAAATGGACCTCAGTTCCAGACAGTGGATGCCCTTCGTGAAGCCATCTTCAACACTTGGAGCAACGTTCCCACTAGCCTCCTGGAAACACTGGCATCAAGCATGACTAAACGATTGTTTGAAGTCATCAACATGAATGGTGGAGCTACTCATTACTTATTCCTTTTTTTGACACTTTAATTTCTGTTTTGGGGGGTTTTCAGGTTTTTTTGAGCTATGGTCAGCTGAAAAAAAAAATCATGTTTGAGTGTAAATGCAGTTTTCAATTAATTCCCCACTCAAAGGTTTTTGTCTCTTACGCTGATTTCTAATTTTAACATTGTAAAGCTCTACTTAGAACCTTCTTTAGATCCAATAGTGCAAAATGTTAATTCTTGCAATTTTTTGACTGGTCTTTAGATTTTGATCAGGAGTGTATATGTATTTACAACTTAAAGACCATGGTGGCTCCATGGTCGTGTTTAGAGAACAAAATGTTTGATGCCAAGAGGGAAACAGCTGAGTAGCGCTTAGAATAAATATGAACTTTGGTTTTCACTGAGGCAGGAGCTGAAGCTGCCAGAGTTTGTTAGATGATGGTGAGGCTGCACAGCAGAGTTTATGTCTATTGATCGCAATTGGTAAGAAAATATCTTCATACTCAAAAAGAATAAAGTAAACACTATCAGGATGAATGCTCGGCATCGATTGCTTTGTTATAACATGAATATCTGAGGTTTAGGGTCTTT